TGTGCCCTTGCTTCGCAGCAGCCTTTGTGTGGTGTTCTCCAATCTATGGAATTATTGAATATAGAGTTTAGGGAAATATGCCAGGTCTGAGCGCTGATTTAGCCCCGAAGCTTAATTGCCAGTGTGAAATCTATGGCCCCTGCAATCTCCTCTGATTAGAGAGCTGCCAGGAGCCCCACGGGGCCACCCTCTTTTATTACTGTTCTTCTGAAGAAAGTGCCAGTGTTCGGCCTATCGTGGGAGTGAAGATCGCTAGTCAATGATTAATGGCATGATTGCATTTGTTTTCTTTCTGAATTAACCCATGTGACCCATGGCATTTACACCCCGTGTTAACTATTAGACACATAATTGAGCCCTGTGTTTATTTGGGTGGTGGAGGTCCAATGGCTGTTGTGTGGGTTTGATAGTGAGAAAAATAAGGGATCCACAGACCTCTGTGAGCCGCCAGGGTTGGAGGCCCTGCCTGCCTTCCTCTGGTGTGAGGAAGGGACTCTGGCAGCTTCCTTTGCTCCTTAAAGAGGCTTTTCCTGGCCTTTCAGGACTTGATATAACAGTTCCCTTGTTTGTGCAAGGTCTGGGTGGCTTACAGGCCCAGCACTATGCAGTTTGGATCCAGTAGAGGATGCTTTGCACTCCTCATGAATCCAGGCATCTTTCTTTATCCCCAGCCTCCCTTCCTCCTCCTCCTCCTGTCTTCACTTCTGGTTTTCTGTTCCACAGGGTCTCACTGTGTAACCCACACTAGACTCAAACTCGAGATCCTCTTGTTTCAACCCTTCAGCTGTGGGATTACAGGTAGATGTCCTCATGCTCAGCTCAGAATGTCTCCTTTTCTTACAGCAAACATGATCTGTGTGGTATGACTCTTTGAACGGTGTCTGTACTTAACAGAAGTGGGCAGTTTCTAGAAATGCCTTGCCAAGTTGCTAGTCTCCTATAGAACCAGCTTAGATTTAGGCAAGAAAATGCAAAGTGATTGTTGGCATTCCCTATCCTGCCAGAAATGAGGTTAAAACCACCCCCACCCCCTAATGCCATCTTTGAAACTTGTTCAAGTTGGTTCTGATGCCACAGGCATGGGGGGTGGTGCAGGACCAGCAGACACATTATGTCACAGTTCTCTGAGGATTTCCTTTCATTACTTCCGTTTGTTTTCAGGGATGATAGGTAGAGGTTTCTGCTCTCTGGCTAACACCGAGTAAGGACATTGCTCGCTAAAATGTTCACTACAAGGAGGCTTCTCAGGCCAGCCAGGCAGTGGTAACAGTGTCTTAGCTTGAGCAGCGCAGGTGCAGTAGCTTCACTCCTCAGAGTTTTTGAGGAAGTCCAAGATCAAGGACTTCCTCAGATCCTGTGTCTGGTGGCTCCGCAGCCATCATCATGGCCATGCTCCTGCGGTGGGTAGGACAAACTCTCTAGGGTTTCTTTATTAAGGACACTCGTTGGAAGCAGAGGGGGATGGTTCAGTGGTTAAACTTCTTGCTGTATGAGATCCAGAGTTCTAGTCCCCAGAGCTGTGTAAATTCTAGGGAGCTGTGGGGCCCACTTGTAATTCTAGCTTTAGACGATAGAGACAGGGGGTCACCAGAACAAGCTGGTGAGAGGGACTAGTCATTTCTGCAACGTCTGGGTTTCACAGAGGGAACCTGTCTCTGGGAATGAGGTAGAGGAGTAACTGAAGATCATTTCCAACATCAACCTTGAGCCTGCACACACAGGCACTTGCATATGAACACATACTCACACATGTGTGTCCCCATACATACATGCACACAACACATACACCAAAAGAAATGGAAAAAGAAAAAGATAATAAGGGCACTAATCCTTTTTGTGGGGCTCCACTCCTCTGGCCTAATCACAGCCCAAAGCCTGTTGCCTCAGCTGATCACACTGGGGGAGATATTTCTAAAAATGAATTGGAGGAACAAATATTCACCCCATAGTATTCTGTTTCTGCCCCTCCCCCAAGCTCATGCTCTCCTCTCCTTCTACATACATCCAGTCCTTCAATAGCCTCGAGTCCTAAACCATCTTAGAGTCATCTCAAAAGTCTAAATATCTAAATGGAGTACGGAGGAGGCCTAGATAAGTCACATGTTTCTAAAATGCTGTAGTGGCACAGACACAGGCTAGACACCCAAAAGGGGAGGGTTGGAAAAGGATAAATGAGTGACAGGTCCCAGGAGAAGACCCAAAACACCAGGTACAAGTAACAGTAAGCTTCCAACCTCAAGGACAGCCGTGGCTTGTCTCGATGCTTTCCAGGCCCCTGGGACTAAGTCTGCCTCCCAGCTTCTTGGTTTTGTAGCCATGCACCTGCGGCTTCTCCAGAAGTGTTCATCTTGTCTCTATCCCTGGAATTTTATCCCATCTGCCTTGACATCTCCGTACGGATGCCTGGTGCGAGTCTCAAACCTTGTCCACTCCACACCAAACTCTTGACCTTGCCCATAATAAACCTGTTTCTCCCCTGGTTGCCCTACTTCAGGAAAGGACAGACCCCCTACCTCCCATGTGCTCAGATCAGTGACCACAGAGTCAGACTTTCGTCCCCTCCAAGCTCTACCTCCATCTCACCACCAGGGCTGCTGAGGAGACTCGGGGTCAGTCTACTCCCCCCTCATCACCTCTGCCGTCCTGCTTCCGGCTTCGCTCTTCTGCATGGACTGCTGAGCAGGTGCACACCCGCCCGATTTCCAGCTCCTGTCATCGCTCTAGTCCCAACGGTCTCTCCTCAAGATGGTGCGGAAAGGTCACTCAATCCCATCATCCTCTGCTCAGAACCTTCCAGAGCTTTCCTAAATCCCCCAGTATGACCAGAAAGTCCAGTGCTCTCCCTTCGTGGCCTCATTTCCTACCATCCTGACCTTCACTGATTCCTTGCTCTTTCTGAAACACATTGACGCTGATCCCCACCCAAGCCCTACTCTACGTTCTGCACTCTTCTTTCTAGAATGCTCCCTTTACTTCCTTCAAAGTTGCTATATCCAAAAGGACGTCCATGAACACATTACCAAGGACACCCGCCTTCTCTGTGACGGCATTCATGTCTCCTACTCTCTTGCCTTTTAGCTTAGTCTTTCTATTGTGTCTATGTCTGTGCACTATGACCCCGAACTGTCCACTTGAACCACAGCTCTTTTATAACTTAAAACAATTCAATAATTATATTCTGTAATGTTTGTTATAAAAAGTGATTTTTAAAAGAATTTCATACACAAATAAAATGTGCTTTGACCATATCCCTCAAAATCCTCCCCATTTCCTCCTCAACTGTGCACGGGTGTTGGCCCCTCCTTCTTTGAGGTGGGATCTTGTTTGCCTTGATCCTCTTGCCTCTGCCTTTGCTGAATTACAGGTGTTCAGTCTCACACGCCTTTGTGATGGTTTTAGAGAGAATGATCCTCATAGACTCATATATTTGCATGTTTGGTCTCCAGTGATGACTGTTTGGGAAGGATTAGGAGGTGTGGACTTTTTGGAGGAATTATGTCACTAGGCTTTGAGGTCTCAAAAGCCCATGCCAGGCCCAGCAAGTGGCTTTCAGCCTGATGCTTGTGGATCAGGATGTGAAGGTCCCAGTTACTGCTCTTGCACGCACCGTATCTGCATGCCCGCTATCATCCATGCTTCCTGCATGACGATAATGGTCTAACCTCTGAAACTGGAAGTCAGTCCCCAATCACATACTTCCTTTTGTTGCCATGGTCACGGTGCCTCCTCACAGCAATAGAAATCCTAAGACACCTTTTGAAAGCATATACCCACAAGCTCAATGGGACAGCAGTGACATTCTGAAAACTGGTCAATAGGACACAAGCCAAGTATCTGAGCAGGTTGGAAGGTCCCAAAGCTCTTCTCCCAGTCCCCAGGGCTGGGACTGAACACAGGACCTTACTGGTACTAGAAATATGTTATCACTCAATTATAGGCCTAACCTTGGAAGATGTCATCTCTTAAGGTGGCGGTAAAGAAAATGGCTTGGGGACAGAAAGCTTAGGTGCTTCTGCAACTGTGGGCAAAGGGGAATCTAATATGAGAAATATCATGCATGCATCTATATAACCCCTTGACCTCTAGGTCACTACCTCCCAATCCAGACACACCTCTGATGGTCTATTTCTCTTATCACTGAAAGGTACTGGAGTATGTTCCTGTGACTCCCCTAAAACAGAAATCTTCTGGATATGAGACACTTAGCACATAAACAGCAAGACCAGAATAAGAGAATTAGCTGCCTGTGTGTAACAACTCCCCCCAAGCTGGCAGGGATACATTAAGCAAGGCCCAAGTGGTGGGCGGGGTAATGAGCAAAATCAGACCTCAATAAGGTTTGAAGCCTTCACAGAAATGAGATTCACATTTTCAACCAGCAAGGGCACCAGCATGTCAGGAAAATGCCAGAGTCCTTTCAGAAGACAACGGCTGAAGGTCAGGCCTAGGCCTGGGAGATCTGCCCACTTCTGATGGGGTGTGAAGACTTTTCAGAAAGTACCCAGGACAGTCCTACTACCGTTCACTTTGAGTTTTGTTTTTCCAATATATATTCCCCTGGTCCAAAATCCCGTCCCACCCTCCCACCCCCCACCAGCACTCCAATTGATTTTAGACCCATAGTTGTTAATGAAATAATCACAAGAAACAGTTCCTGGTGGGAAAAGAAAGATAAACAGTCCAGCTACATCTCTAGATCAGTGTGGCATGAAAATGTTAATTGAAGAGAGTCTAATTCACCCAAATTCATAAACGCCAACTTCTGTCCTATGCATTTGACAAATTCAACATCTCAACATTTACCTCAGATTTTTAAAAATGATATCGTGAGCCTGTGAGTGGCCTGGTTTGGGGTTTTCTTGGCTGATGGATGGGAGAGGAAGAAGGGAGCCAGGCGGGCCTGGATCCTGATTATAACAAAGCATCTAGCTCTTCCCTGCCTAATTACTTCACCACTTACTTAAACCTCTCATTTTATGTTAATGAACACCAGGCTTGTCTGAGAAAACAGCCTTTAATTTAATGGGGCTGATTTCCTTAGAGTCTGAATGCAAGGAGAGGTTAAAAAAGGAAAAGGGAACAGTTATCAACCTGTTTTCTCGGTGTGTTCTTAAGCCTTTTGGAACCTCACATTTCACCTGGTTTGGACTTCATCCCTGGGTGCATGAGCTGGAAACTAATGCATAGCTTGGTTGTAGACTGGTCTTCAGTAGGTAGAGAAGGAGGATGCTTTGAGGCTGGAGGCCTCTCCATTCAACTGTGGCTTCAATCAGGACCACCTGGCTTTCCCTGGAAGTTCTGTTCTTGGCCGGTCTGTAGACATGAGCGCTGCGTGGCTCTGGGCAGGAAGCCTTTGTCCAAGGGTCAAACCAGCCTGGATGCCTCTTCTTCAGGTGGAGCACTGGGTGTGGCTGCAAATGAAAATAATTTCATCTTGATGAACCCGAATGGCCAGTTGATGTGAGCAGGGTGGGTCCCTGCTCACTGTTCCCGAAGCCCCAAGGCAGGAGCCTGGAGTCACACTTTTATCTGTGGATTCTGACCCGGGTCAGGGTGCCAATACACCAGGCTGTTTCAGACACACCTTGAGATGTATCTGTCTGATGGGCTGCAGGACGTGGTTCTGAAACCAGTAGATGGTGGCCTCAGTCCAGGGGTGGCTGAAGGCTGATTTTCTCTCTTAGAAAAATCTGAAGGAGTTGCAGGCAGCATTCCCTGGAGAATTGGAACAAAGTTGTTCCAGAACAATTGACATTTTGATGTTCCCGTGATGTACTTATTCCTGATTTTCCCAGGAGCCTTCAGCCAGTGCTGTCTGCGATTCTGTCCAGAAACAGCTCCTGTCTCTCCTCGTTACTGCTGGTATCTGCATGAGTGCTTGGACTAGCATGTCTGCTGGTTTCTGGGTCCCCATGGCTGTCCAGCACCCTGTCCTGGCTTTCACCTGGTCTGCGTGTATGACCTTGGAGAGAGATGGGATTGCAAAGTGAATCTGGGTAATTCTGAGTAACTTAGACCTAGAGAGGTATATGGGGGGGGGAGACAAGAAAATAATCCCTGCCACATCCCAGCCTGTGATAGATCCATCCCAATAGGCACCAACCAAAAGTAGGATCTGGCTGAGCCTTTCCCAGTCTTAGCTGCTTAGGAAATCAGGTGTATTCATGGCATATAAACCAGACCCTCCAAGAAAGGCCTTAATCTAATCAGGTAGGTAACCCCTCTACTTCCGTGTAACCCTAACCAGAGACAGCACCATTCTGAGTTTCAAGTTCTTCTTTTAAAAACCTAGGCTAGTCTTACCCCGTAAGATTGAATTGTTGGGGGAATGAAACAAGGTACGACGTCAAATGGACTGAGAGAAGATAATACAATGCATAGGAAGGCTGCAGCTACTCTTGGACCTGTTCTGCCATTCAGGCAGGGCACTGGGCACAGACACAGAAAGGACACAGTACCCTTATGGAGCAGTGAGAGGTCAGGTACAAGCTGGCTCTTCAGCTGGAGTTTGGGAAGCAGAAGCCTGCAGGTACCAGGCAGCGCTGCAGCAGCTCAGCTGAGTGCAGCTGGAACCTGGCCGGACTTGAATTTCTTCCTTTTGTTTTGTTATTGCTGATAGTGCTGTGTTTGCCGGTCACTGTTGGAATCATGGGTGTAACCGGGTGGGGCAGGTGAGGCCAGAGGCCAGGTGCAGCCTGGCAAAGAGGTAGAGAGGGAGGCGGTGGAGGGTGTGGCGAGCCGGGCCCAGGCTTCCCTCAGCAGCTGTAGGAGCTCCTTCCTGGAGGCAAGACCCTGTGCCAGGCTCTGAGGCTAGGCTTAGGGTCGGCCTTCGTGTTGCTTTTCCTCCTCGGGCTGCCAGGCGGGTGTGCGTGGAGTGAGGGCAGCTGTGGCGTGGCTGAGCAGTTCTTTCTTGCTCCGTGTTCTCAGGCGGCTTAGAGTGCTCTCTCTCGCTTGCCATGGTGGCAACCATCTTGCTGTCGTATACACTTCCCACTGGTAGCTTTCACTTTGTGGTGGTGTTGTGCCTTTGAGCTTAGTTTACCTCTTTCAGTGTTTCCATAGAGGGCGATGCTTTTATGACTAAATTCTCAGGCAACTTCAGACTTTGGCCTCAGTGAGGGGACGGTGGACATGGATGGGGTAGGGTTCACGAACATGGTGGGTTGAGAACTTCTGAATTAGAGACAGTAAACTAATTTAAAGCTCCTTCGAGACTATGTACATGAAGGCTTGCCCTAGTAACAGCTTATGTTAACCCAATAAGGAGGCCTGCAAGATTGCTCAGTAGGTAAAAGCACTTGCCGTTCAGACTAGATGACTTGGGTTTGAGCCTCGAAACCCATGTAAAAAAGCTGGATGTGGCAGCACGGATTTGTAACCTCAGTAGTCCTACAGTGAGATGGTAGGCAGCGACAGGAGGATTTCCTGGAAGCCCACGGGCCATCTAGCCTGGAGTACACAGTATGGCAGAGAGTCTTCATAAGGTAGAAGGAGAGAATGGATTTCTGAAAGTTATCTTATGACCTCCATATGAGCACTATAACACACATGTGCCTATCTGCACATACAATGATGAAAAGTAAGGTAAATCAATAATGAGCAATAGAAAATAGGGTACATGTGGGTAGTATGAGTGACAATATTCTGGCTCTCTGTGTGCATGTATGTGGTGCTAGGGATCGAATGAACCTAGGGCTTTGTACATGCATGTGAGGCCGGTGCTCTACCACTGAACTGTATCCCAGCCCCTCTTAACAACTTCTTATTTTGAGGCAGGGTCTCTCTCAATCGGGCTAGAACTTCCAATTCTTCCTCAGTCTTTCAAATAGCTGGGATCACAGTCTTGTGCCGGCAGGCCTGACCAATATGTTGTTTATAGAAGGACTAGCATTAGTACAGGTACAGGATGTGACATACAGAGAACTAAACATTGTCTAGACAGTTTCCTGCACTCAACCAGCAGTCCAGAAAATATCGTGAGTAGACCAGGGATACTGATGGCATACAGGAACAATAATTCAATTCAAAAAGTATCCTTGTATGTTGATACATAGTTTATTCTGAATGAAGAGATTCCTTTTACAGGTAGATGTTCCCTATTATATACTAAAGCCTTATTAACATCTCAGGATATGTTTAGTGGAAAGCTCTGTGTAGGAGTGAATTAGTAGTCAGTTTTTGTTGTGATGATACTATGTAACAAACAATCCCAAAACTCTTCGTGACAAATAGATACTGCTTGATCACATGCCTGTCAGTGGTATGCGTTGTGTGTTGAAAGTCAAGGTGATCAGTATATAGTTTCTTATTCTAAGACCCAGGCTTAAGAGACACACCCATTAGCAAGCAGTGTTCTTGTGTTGGAGAGAAGGTCAAGGAAGGTGGTTGGTATTTACAACACCTCTTCAAGGATTCACTTGAAACTGGAGTAATGTTACTTCTACCCACATACTGTGGACATCTTCGTTTCTGGCTGGGATAAGATTTTCTGACAAGCAACTTAAGAGAAAAATGTTTGTTCTGTTCACAGCTCAAGGGTCCAGTTCATCATTGTGTGAAAGTCAAGGTGTTGTGCCCAAATTTTGAACCCCAAAGTCACCAAGAGGACCATTCCAATACAAAAGCAAAGAGTCTTTTTTATTTAATGAGTTAACTGTCTTAACTCGGGTCTTCCTTCCCTCTGACATGGTGGGCTGGATAGAGAAGGACCCAGGGGGAACCACGAAGTGGGGAATTTATTGAGTAGAGCAAGGGGAGTGTCTAGGGGTACGAAAGAGTCTCAGGTCCACTTCCAGACCTGGGCTACCTGTCCTGTGTTGATTGATCAATTGGTTGCTATGACCCATAGGCCTTCTCAGGGTGGTTGCTATGTTCTGTATGCCACTGATCCGCCCAGAGCCTGCCAGCTAACTTCTGATTGGTTCCTTGCCTCATGGAGGGTATCTGACCTCCTTGTTACTAGGGCAGGTCTGGCAAGATCAGGAGACCAGAAACTCACCAACATGTTCTGAGTCAGAGGCCTACATCTTACTGGGTCTTTTCTGCAGCCTGTCATGGCTGCTAAAGCAGGGGGCTGGGTGAGGGTCTGGTCCCTTCAAAGACAGCTTGAGCTTGAAGCCACTGGCCACATCACATACACAATCAAAGTGGACAGCAATGAGTGATTGTTTCCAGTCCACTTTCCCCTTTTCATACAGTCTAGGACCCCAGCCTAGGGAATGGTGCCACCCAGAGGAAACATGTCTTCCCACCTCAACTAACCTATTCAAGATAATCCCCATGGGATCCTCCAGAGGCCCATCTCTGCTGACTGTAGACCTCATCAAGTTAACAACTGAGATCAGCCATCACAGTACACCAATGTATCCTATGTAGTCACATCCCAAGTCAGCGGGGCAGGGAATGGGGGTGAGAAGTGGCCATAGACATTTGCCAGGCGATCAGTCTATCCCAGGGACACTTGGGAAGTTTTATTCTTTCTTCCTCAAAGAAACTGCCCTATACCTTGTTCCTTATCAGGCAAATTAATAATGTTTCTACACATGTTTTGCTGAATGAATAGTTCATCACTCCTGGCTTAATTTAACTAGGTACACAACCTCCTGTCTGCATCTGCGCTCTATAAAGTCCTTTCTTTCATAAACACAGGCTGCAAGGAGGCTGTGTCAGTCAGATACAATCCTGGTCACAGGTGTGCACGTATTTACTGCTGCTTCTGGGGTGGAGCTGTCGGGGAGTCATCTCTAGCCAGCAAAGAGGTGGCTTGGTGGCTCCCCACCCACTGCCACACCCAGTGAAGGACTAGCAGGAGAATAATAACCAAGAGGTTTCATGTGTTGGGTCTTCTGCCACCATGATGAGGATGGTTTACTTACTGAGAACACTCCCTGTGTGAGAAGTTAACCTTCCAAGGTGGGCAGATGGTGGGGGATTTCAAGCACCTCTCCTTCAAGGGACATTGGAACAAGCAACACTCACAGTGAAGCAAAGCTGGAATCTGGGATGGAGTAGGCCTGTGTTGGAGTCTTGGCTCTATGCTGTCACCTTGGGCAAAGCACAGTGTTGGTCTCAATTTTGTCAGCGGCAAACTTGGCAAAATGATAACATGGACATTGCCTGCTACAGTAGGTCTGGAATGTGCCCCCAGAATGCCTGTGTGAAAGGCTTGATCCTCCTGGACCAGGGTATAATCTTTAAGAAGTGGGGCCTAGTGAGGGGTTTTAGGTCATGGGGGTTACCCTTACGGAAGGGTGGGACTTCCTTCCCAACCACTCCTAATACTATTTACTGCCTTGCCATAGGCCCCAAAGCACTGGGTCCACTGGCTATGAACCAAAGCCTTCAAAACTGTAAACCAATATGAGTTTTCCTCAGGTAGTGTGTTGCGGTAATGGGAAGCTGACTCACACACATATAAAGTTCTCAGCATAGCACCTGCCTGGCACAGAGAAAACACTGCTGCTGGTAGTTCCATTGTCACTATATTTTATCTAACTTGTTTTCTTTAAAAAAAAAAACTGTGTGTACCAGAAAGAATATAAGACGCTCATTGCAGTCTCAGGAGTGGTCTGAGATTTGGTGAGGAGCAGTGTAGTCTGGACATGCAATCTGAGGTTCAGTGGATCCACCCTTCGGTCTGAGCATTGGTAGAGATGAGAGCTCTCTGGTAGCGGCTTGGCCACTTTGCTTCTCTGATCTTCAATTTTAACCCCTTCACCCCCTCCATCCCCCACCCCCGCAAAAACAAAAAACAAAAAAATCCAAAACAAACAAAAAACTCTGTGTGGTGTGTGTGCGTGCATGTGCGTGTGTGCGTGTGTGTGTGTGTGTGTGTGTGTGTGTGTGTGTGTGTGTGGTGTGTGTGTGAGCCCACTCGTGCTCACACGTACATGGTGTACACACAAGTGGGTGTGCTTGCCCATGAGCACAGGTCAAGACCAGAGTATGTAGGGTGTCATCCTCTGACATCCCCTACCTTTCTGTTTGTTTGCTTTTACATTCTGACCACAGTTTCCCCTCCTTCCTTTCCTCCTACCCCCACCCCCACTCCCACCCACTCCTCCATTTCTCTTCAGAAAAGGGAAAGCCTCCCATGGATATCAACCTGCCATGGTATATCAAGTGAGACTAGGCACCTCCTCTCCTATTAAGGCTGGATGAGACAACCTGGTAGGAGGAAAAGGGACCCAAAAGCAGGCAAAAGAGTCAGAGATAGTCCCCACTCCCACTGCTAGGAGTCCCGCAAGAAGTTCAAGCTACGCAATTGTAACATACGTCCAGAGGGCCTAGGTTGGTCCCATGCAGGTTCCCTGGTTGTGGGTTCAGTCTCTATGAGCCCCTATGAGCAGAGTTTAGTAGATTCTTCCTCCCCCTCTTCTGCAGGATTCCCTAGGCTCTGCCCAAGGTTTGGCTGTGGATCTCTGCATCTGTTCCCACCAGTTGTTGAGTGAGATTGTTTTTTTTTAAGGCAGGGTCTCTTGCTTAACTGAAGCTCATCATCATTTTTGTATAGGCTAGCTAGCTTGCAAGGAAGCTCCTGGAATCTGCCTGTCTCTGACTCCCAACACTGGGGTTATAGGCTCACATGGCCGTGCCCAGTTTTTATGCTAGGGATTTGAACCCAGGCCCTCTTCCTTTTACACCAAATGCTCTTACCACA